TCTTGTTTCCTCTGGAAAGCCATCTGGAAGGATGTTTGGAAGGTTGTTAGGCTGTCTGGTCTAATTAGCATATTACACTTTTATTATTATAGATAGATCCTAAGTACCCTTAATTAGATACACCTCAGTTCCTGAAACAAGGACAATGCTTTTTTTACTGATTGCCTTTTATCAGCAACCTTTTCCCCTCCCTGAGTATTTGCACCAGAATTTCCCCTGTTTTTGTTTGTTTGTCTGTTGGGATTTCCCATTTCACAGATCAATGAATGAATGGTGAGTCTGGATGGACCGGCACACAAATGTGTTAGTGAACATTTTCCCCCAACAATGATCCGGGGTGAGGGATGCCTTCGCTACTTAAGCTCTAAAGAGATGCAGGGTTGCCAGTGCCTCGGGAAGGTTCTTTTCTGGTTTCTATGGGAAGTCCCCAGTGCAGACTTTCCTGGCTGGGGCCTGATGATCCCCAAAGGTGTGAGAACCAAATGCTGTGCCCCCACCGCCACGCATGTGTGCTGGTGTGTGCGTGCGTGGAGCGGGGACTGCAGAAACCCTTTCCTGTTTGAGGTGACTGGATGCATTCACTTCCAGTGGAAACACTGGCCTGAAATCTAGCCTGTGTGTGTATATATATATCCCCAGAGCTCGCCAAGGGGATTTCTCTGATGAGTGCATTGAGCTCTGAGAGATAGCGGATCTGCGCTTAAAGCACTTACATGCATGTGTCGCTACCGCTTAGCTGACTTGTCAGGCCTGGAGCCTGAAGCTTGTCTCCCAACACCTTCCATCCGGTGAGAGGGGAAAACCAGAGCAAACTACTCTGTCTTGCTCACAAGAGCTCCTTGGCTCAGGGCACGGACGCATCCCACCCACTCTTTCCCCTGCCAGGCTCTCTGAGCGGGAATGGGCTCAAGGAGGGGGCCCTGCATCCTCAGGGCTCTGGATGCAGGCTCTCTGCAGTCCCTCTCCGCATCTTAGCGCCAGACAACTTTCTCTGCATTTCCCTGAGATTTCGGCGCAAGTCTGGTTATTTGCACCGGGTTCAGGTTCCTTTCCGCGGCCAAGGTTCCTGCAGAGTCTCAGGGCGGCTGTCCTGGGCTTGCCAGGGGCCCTGCGGGGTGACTGGGCCTAGGGGAGGGAGGGGGTGGTGACGGGCCCGGCTTAGGCGGGTGGCACCGGTGCGAGGGCTCCAGGATGCGCCCCTGTAACTTCCTGCCTGAGCCCAGGCCGCTGCCTCCGAGCAGCCCTCCAACCGACCCGCAGGGTGGTGGGGGGATCGAGCCCCGGCCAGGAGGCGGAGGAGGCCCCCGGGGGCGTGCCCGGGGCACAGGGGGCGCCGCGCCCCCGCCGCGCGCGCTCCTGGGGCAGCGGTTTGGGAAGCCGGAGGGGCAGCGACCTCTGCGGGCGGGCGGGCGGCCGGTCGACGCTTCCCTGCGGCCTCGGCGAGCCGGGCGGGCCTCGCCGGCTCCCGGTGGCTTCCGAACCCCGGACGCGGGCGGAGACGCGGCGATGCCCGGGGCTGCGCGCTCGCCAGGGTCCCGGGGAGGGTCCCGGCGCGGGCGGCTCAGCGGCGGCGGCGTCCCGAATCTGGGGTGGTGAGGGTCTGTGCATCCCCTCGAGCCGCTCCAGGAACCCCGTTTTCCCTTTTTGGGGGACAGGGATCGCTCCCGATGTCTCTCCTTTAGAAAGTTACTCCGGCGCTTGTATCACCGGGTGATGCAGAGAGAGAGACGGCGCGGTGGTCTGTCCCCCGCGGACCCCACCAGGGCGATCCCGTCCAGTGGGCAGAGCCAGGTGGATGGAGCCCAGCTGTGAACCCCGAGCCGGTTGACACCTGGGGCCCCCACCCCCCGAAAGGGTTAAGCGCGCCCCGCTGAAGGCTCGGGTTTACGTGTAAATACAGAGCAGCTGCTCCGCGCGGCCCGGCCGGCCCGTCTGACGTCGTTGATTGGTTGCCAATGACATCACCGCCCGCGTTCTAAGCGGCGGAGCGGCGGCCCGGGCGGGGGGGAGGAGCGCGGAGAGGCCACGCCCCGGCCACGCCCCCTCCCGCCGCCCATTGGCCGCGGGCTGCTGTGAGGTAACGGTCCGCGCTCCCCGGGTCCTGATTGGCCCGGCGCGCCGTCGGTCGGCCCCCGGCCCGCCCCGCTCCCCCCCCAGGAGCCGTACATGTACGGTCCTCGCCAAAGAGAAAGTAACTATGTTGTTGTGGCTGGAGATCAATGAAGCCGAGTGAATGGGGGGCTGAGTCGCGCGAGTCCCAACACGGAGGCGGGCGGCGCCAGCCAGATGGTGGAGGGCTGCGCTCCTTCATGAAAGTGAGTGGAAGTCCCGGCGGCGGCCACGGTGTGCGTGTGAGTGCGTGTGAGTGCGTGTGTGTGTGTGTGTGTGTGTGTGTGGAGTGTGAATGTGCGTGTGAGTGTGTGTGAATGTGTGAGTGTGTGTGTATGAATGTGAGTGTGTGAAAGTGACTGTGTGTGTGTGAGTGTGTGAATGTGAGTGTGTATATGTGTGTGTGTGAGTGTGTGTGTGTGAGTGTGTGTGTGTGAATGTGTGTGTGTGTGAATGTGAGTGTGTGAATGTGACTGTGTGTGTGTGTGAGTGTGAATGTGAGTGTGTGAATGTGACTGTGTGTGTGTGTGTGTGTGTGTGTGTGTGTGTGTGTGAGTGTGGCGATGCTCACGGGGAGCCAGGGGAGCCAGGGCAGGCAGGTGAGCTGGATCTGGGGGTGCCGGCTGTTGGTTGTTGGCTCGCGCCGCGCGGTGCGTTCACGCTCTGCAGTCTGTTTGGATGATTTGGGACGAAATGGGAAGGAAAACATAAAAGGTTTGTCGGGACGCTTTGCTGCAGTTTTAAATGCCCGGAGCTCGTTGCTGAGCTGTGTTGCGAAGGATGGGGGGGATTGGGGGTGTGTGTGTTAGGTGCCCCAGGAGCCGGGAAGGAGCGTCCTCCAAGCTCTTGATTTTTCTCCCATGTCAGCCTGTGCCTACTGACCAGCCCAGGGGAGAGGGGGCAGGCAGGCGGCTCAGGGTCTCGCGGAGGTTTCCAGGGCCGGTCTGGCCGGTTTCGCGGGGCCGGGTGTGTAGACAGAAGCCCAGCCGACCCGACCCTCTGCTGCAGGGATGCAGATCGCCTTGTAGACAGACACTCGGTGCCTGTGTGCGTGTGTGCGTGTGTGTGAGTGTGTGTGTGTGTGTATGAGAGAGAGAGAGAGAGAGAGAGAGAGCTGCTCACGCACCCCGCCTGGAGGTGGGGGCCCAGCCAGGGTCCCCCCTCTCCAAGGGAAGTGGGCTGTCCATCCTCCTGGGACGCTCCCGGCCAGGTGACACCATAGCCAAGACTTGCACCGCTGGGTCCGGCTGGGAAACAGTTCTAGCTTCCGGAATAGTACTTGGCTCTTCAAAAAAAAAATAAATAAATAAAATAAAAATAAAAATACTACGCCAGGGAGGGAAGAAGGGCTGGAGGGAGGGAGGAAGGGAGGGAGGGAAGGGGTTGGGTGCCTCGCTCCCATCCAGAGCTGGGGGGGAGGAACCTGAGTGGCCAGGGACCTGCGGGTGGAGTGCCTGCGTGCCCATGTGTGCGTGTGCATGCGTGTGTATGTGTGTATATGTGAGTGTGTGTGTGTGTGGGGGGGGAGGGGTTCTGCTGGTGACACTTGGGCTCCTGTCAGGAATTGGTGACAGTCCTGTGCAGACGGGTGATCGGTGACATCTCCCCAGACAGCTCTTGAAGTTGCTTTCAACGAGTGACTCCTGCACAGGGTTCGGTCTCTGGGCTGTGTGCGTGGCTGATAGCAGGGCGGGAGGGAGATGGGGGAGGCGGTGGAGGGCGCCCCTGTGCCTTCAAGGAGGAAGGAACTGCGCCCCTTTCCCAGGCCGATCCTGTGGGCAGCACTTCCCTGCCCCCAGGGGAGCTGGGAGGTCATCTTTACGGGATCCATCGCCCCGAAGAGGGGGATCTCTGTGTGGGGCTGAAATATTCAACGCCCAGCGCCCGCCTCCCGCCCAGAGCAGCCCTAGGATGCACAGTCCGTGCCTTTGAGGGAAATGAAGTTAAGCAAGCGGTCCTTTCCCTAAAAGCCCTAAAGGCGAGCGTAGGGGGTGGGGGTGGGGTGGGGTGGAGGGTAGCAAGGGAGCAAAGAGGGATGGATCTGCCCAGGGCTGGGGTTTCCAGACCTGCCTGGCTCCTGGGCCAGAGGCTCCCTCTTCGGACACCGGTTTGCAATGAAAGGGGAAACAGCAGGCTGATGAGCAGGCTCAGAGGCAGCACCGGGCTTCAGTGAAATAAGGCTGTGAGTGCTTTGCAGAGGGCTCAGCGGAATGGAAGGCGAGGAGAGCTCAGGGCTAAAGAGAGGCACTTGGGAGAGGGGGGATGCTTACATTCTGAGGCACAGAAAGTTGCCATCCGTCCCGATGTATACTTAACCGCTGGCTGCATGTTTCTGTGAGCCCTGTCCGTGTGCGGGGCCATTCCCCCCCGCCTTGGCAGCGGGCAGGGAGTGACGTGGAGAGTATGCCCGGGTGGCCCAGTGGGTATTCCTTGGATAATTGCGCTACAGAGGCTGCCCGGGAGACAAGGCCTAGGATGGAGACCTCCTCAGAGCCTTCCTTTCTGTCTCAGAGTTTCGTATCTCCGTGCTTGTGCCTTTTCTGAGGGTGAACATCATCCATGTAGGTCCGAGAGCGTTGGCTGATCGGCGTGTGCCTGGACAATGCATGTAACCTCGGGCTCAGGGGCCAGATAGGCGGGGGGCATGCTCAGGTTGGCATCCTCTTTGAACCCCGTGCCCACGGGTCCCCAGGTTCAGGAGAAGCGTGAGAAAAGGTGATCCAGGACCACGCTGCTCAGAGGGCTGCAGCAGCGAGCTGCTTCTCCTAGGGATTGGATGCCGCTGCCTTCTGTGTCACGTGACTTGATTCTCTCTCTCTCTCTCTCCCTCCCCTTCCCTTCTTTACAGACTGTCTTGAGTTCTTCTTGAATCGCCAGCGTTCAGCCTCCTCATGCCTCCGTCTCCTTTAGACGATAGGGTAGTAGTGGCACTGTCCAGGCCCGTCCGGCCTCAGGATCTCAATCTCTGTCTAGACGCTAGCTACCTTGGCCCCGCCGCCCCGGGCGGCCACAGCCACCACCCTCCCGTCATCGCCGCCACCGCCACCGCCACCGCCACCGCCACCGCCACCGTCGTGTCCCTCAAGGCTGCGAACCTGACGTATATGCCCTCATCCAGCGGCTCTGCCCGCTCCCTCAATTGTGGATGCAGCAGTGCCAGCTGCTGCACTGTGGCAGCCTACGACAAGGACACTCAGGCCCCAGCCCACGCCGCCATCGCTGCCGGCCCTGCCGTGGTCGGCACCTCCAGCGCCTGCCCGGCCACCCAGATGGTCAACAACAATGAGAACGCAGGCCCTCTGAGTCCGGCGGGCGGGGTGGTGGGCAGCCCCGCGGCGGGGACCCCCAAGCAGCTGGCCAGCATCAAGATCATCTACCCCAACGACCTGGCCAAGAAGATGACCAAGGGCAGCAAGAGCCACCTGGCCAGCCAGGGCCCCGTCATCATCGACTGCAGGCCCTTCATGGAGTACAACAAGAGCCACATCCAGGGAGCCGTCCACATCAACTGCGCCGACAAGATCAGCCGGCGGAGGCTCCAGCAGGGCAAGATCACCGTGCTGGACTTGATTTCCTGCAGGGAAGGCAAGGACTCTTTCAAGAGGATCTTCTCCAAAGAGATCATCGTTTACGACGAGAACACCAACGAGCCGAGCCGGGTGATGCCGTCCCAGCCCCTCCACATCGTCCTCGAGTCGCTGAAGAGAGAAGGCAAAGAGCCTCTGGTGTTGAAAGGTAACGGAATGCTCCTGTCCCTGGCGGCGGCATCGGTGTACCCCTGATTCGCCTGGGGTCACTGGGGGTTTCCCCTCGGAGGTACCAGCACTCTCCCCACCCTGCCTATACCCGCAAAGACCAGAATAGACGTCCCTCTCGTCTGCCCTCCTGTGCCCTTTCTGAATGAGTTGTTGTGGGGTGGTGAGAGGAACCCGGTAGCATTGAACTGGAAGCCAGATTTGGGTTCTGGTCTTGCTTCCCCCTTCTGATTTACATCATGCAAGCCGTGTCACCTCTCTGAAGCTCTCCCCGCCTTTCTCCCCCACCTCCCCCGTCTTCCCCCCCCAGAGGGGCTTTTATAACCCCAGAGGGTGGCTCAGGTCCCGCCTGGTCTGGTAGCTCTCGGCCAATCAATCACTCGCTGGAAAGTTACTGTCTCTCAGACTTCACACAGGTTGGTGGGATGGAGGTGGAAACTCACAGGTACCCGTTCTTTTTTTGTGGGAAAGTCTGCCTCGTTTTCACCTCTTCCGTCAGCTTGGGTTTTAGGTGGTTTATAAAGTGCCATAGAGAGGGGCAGAGACCCTTAGTACGTGGCTCCACAGTATAAGTTCATCAGAAACATCTGTTCCTCAGCCGTGGCTCTAAGGGACAGAGTCGTGAGCTACTCCCCACCCCACTGTTTCCTCAGGCTGCACCCTACAATCGTTGGCATCATGGCTTCCCCCAAGATGGGGCGTTGGTCACTCGCCTCAGTATGTTCCATGTAAAAGAGCTCGGAGGTCATGGTGGCTGAGCCCTGGCAGGAGGAATTCATTCCCCACTATTCTCTGAGCTCCTTCCATCCCGTATTGCCTAACCTAGTGGGGCCTCCCTCATCCCCTTTGTCTGTCTTGCCTCTTGGCCCCCAAGATACCATCCTTTGGGGGCACCACACCTCATACTTGGTCTTCAGTGTCTTCTGTCCGGTGGTGGTGGCTCTGAGAAATCATCATCTTCTTTCTTCTCTTATGTCTGAGCCAAGGTACTCAGTCTGGGCCATAGCGCCCGCTGGCCTCCGGAACTGTGTTGACCAAAGGGTCCCTCTGAGCTTCTCACATGCTTCAATGGCAACAGGCCGTTGAGGTGAGCAAGTTCGTCGTCGTGTCTCTGTGAAGGCAGCCCTGCCATTCCCCTTCGGGTCTTCCTGGCGATGCAGTCTGCCTTTGGCTAAGGCCCATTCTTGGAAATATGGTTCTGAGTTCCTCTGATATAACCCGCCTGCCCACCTTCCTCCGATGCCCCCTCCCTGGAGCCAACTACCACAAAGTCACAGCTACCCTTTGTCGTGGGCTCCGAGGGGAAGGATGCCCTCATGGAAGTTGTATCTAGAGAGTTCTGGCAGCAACTAGTCATTTTTGTTGTTGGCCTTCTTGGGTTTTCTTGGGTGTACAGGAATGTTCCGATTTCCTCTGTATGGTGTGGCTTTATATTCTTGTTTGGTTGGCGTTGAGTGCTTCCCAGTAAGGTGACCAGCTAGTGCTTTCTGACCATGATCTTGGCTTGGCTTATCTTTTTTTTTTTTTTTTTTTTTTTTTTTTTTTTTTTTTTTTTTGAGGAGAAACTACAATCTACACATTTCTCCCATTGGTGATCGTTTGTCTTGGGGAGCAGACAGAGTGGGGAGTCGATGGACTTAATGGTTGTCTCTCTGCTCCTGCAGAGTCGATGTTGAGAAAAAGCAGGCCTTGTGTGTCTGCAGACTCCGAGGATAGGCATCGAACAATATGCCCTCCGCGGGCCCCGGACTTGAACTTGAGGTTGGCTGGAGGAGTTGTAGATCCCCTCCTTCTTTTCTGGCCGTGTGTATGGGGGTGTCTTGTCAATCGCTGAGAAAGGAGTCTCCTGGGAGCTACCGATGGAAGTGGGGTTCCTCCCCCGCTCCTGTGGATGCTGCTGGGACGCCAGCCGCCGGGGTTGTTCCTCCGTGTCAGGGAGGGTGGCTCCATGGGCGGGGCCGGACATGCTGCTGACCTCACCACTGGGCGCCCGGGGCGGCCGCCGCGAGGGCTCCTCATTTGCGGGTTGGTGAGACACGGCGCCGGCGGCGGCGGACCTGGAAGAGGTGCTGGTGGTAGAGGTTGGACTATCTGGAGCTTTGGGGGTGCTTTTTCTTCCATTTTCTGGGAATTTGCTTGGGGAAAAAAAAAATCTGTAGTTCAGGAGCAGAAGGGTCTATCATCATCTACTCTTATTTATTATCATCGTCATTATTTTTTTGGTCTCTCGGTGGGGGAATGGCCTACAATGTGGACCAAGATGGGAAAGAAGGGAGAGCAATTAATTCCCCAGGATGCCCCTCGCTACCCTCTCACCTGGGCAAACCAAAGGCTAATGATGCCAGCGCACCATGGAGCGAGGGGATGGGGTGGGCATCCCTCAGAAGGCATGGCCAGCACCTCCTCAGACCAGGCTCTTGTGTGGGTCCAGCAGACCATGCTGGCCTGGCCTCCCTCCCTGCTGAGGGTTTTTTTCCCCCTAATTCCAGCCCCTGGCTGATGGGAGGTTTTATTTTAGCAAGCGCGGCCGTGGTACCATTTTGGGAATGAGTTGAGTTTTGCAGGGAAGCTATGGTGATGGGTGAGAAGGAGACTCTCCAAGAGTAGACATTTCTGAGGCCTCCTGAATGTATTTTCAGAGATTTCAGTAACGGCCTCCCGGGTAATTTATGGCCGGCACACCTGCTGCCCGGGTGTGTGTTTGTAAACACTGGTTGCTACCCTCCCTGGCCAAGTGTCCTGTCCCCTGCTCAATGCCACGTTCTCCATGTTTGGTGCTGCCGGCCCGGGGATCGTTTTAGTAATGCTGTGTCAGGCCGGGAAGCAGGCGATCAGCGCCGGAGCCCCTGAGATTAAGTTGCTGTCCTCACTTACAATCCCCTCCCCGCCGTGGCCCACGTCCGAATCCATGGCTGAGTCTCAGCTTCCGCAGAAAACATGGCCTCAGACCCGCGCTTCCGCCCAGCCCTGAGAAACGGAGAGATATTGAGGGATTTGCAAACTCTTGGAACGAATTAGAATCTGTTTTTACCCAAACAGATGTTGAATGTGATTTCTAGCATTAAGGAATCAGAAGGCTAGACAATCCCGGGATGAGGGCTACCATCATCGCTGTGATGCCTGTCAGGCTCCCGAGGTTGGGTTCAGGGAAAGAATTTGTCATTTACTTCAAGAGGCATCACCACCTCCTTAAAAATGGTCTACGCCTTTAAAATGTTTACTATAAGAAATTTCAAATGTAGAGAAAAGTAGGAAAGTGTGGATCAAGCGCCACATGCCTGTCACCAGATTTCAATTAGTACCATCTTCCCTATTTGCCTTCTCTTCCTTTTTTTTTTTTATTGAAAACATTTATAGAGCAGACAGTATTTTAATGTATCTAAACACGTTTTATGTTTAAAGCTGATGTTTAAAAATTAAGAAGGCTGGGATATTTTATAGTTGAGCATGGACAACATTTTTACTCAATATTGCAGCGTCATGTGACTGTTTTGGAGAATTTTTGTGAACTCAGAACTTCTGCTGTGACTGCCAGGTGGTCAGGGTTATGGAGAAGCAGCCCTCCTTTTTTGGGGGGCTGGAGGGAGGGCTCCAGGTGGTAACGGGGGTCCAGGGCTTCCTGATCTGCTCAGCTATGTCAAGGTCCATGCCTGCACTTGCTCTGCGCTGTCACAAAACAAAGACTGACTCAGAGGCGTTTATTGGAGAGCAGGGGGAGGACAGGGAGTTACCTCAGGAGCCTGTTCCCTAGAGAAGATTTGGATAGCATGGGGCTGTGGTGGGCAAAGTGCGGCTCCCGAGCCACATGCGGCTCTTTGGCCCCTCGAGTGTGGCTCTTCCACAAAACACCACGGCCTGGGCGAGTCTGTGTTGAAGAAGTGGCGTTCGAAGAAGTTTAAGTTTAAAACATGTGGCTCTCCAAAGAAATGTCAATCGTTTAGCTGTTGATGTTTGGCTCTGTGGACTGATGAGTTTGCCGACCACTGTCCTAGGGGGTCAGACCCGCACACTGTAAACCTTCCCGCCCTCCGTCCCTCCTAATGAGCAACATGGATTGCACGTTCGCCCGTTCGCCCGTAGTCAGCAAGGATTCTGAGGCAAACCCGTGGGTAATGTGAGTGGGATAGAAAGATCCAGAGGCTGTGCTCAGAAGTCAGAAACCCTGGGAGCCTTTTCCTTCTCTCTCTGCTGAGTTTTGTGGGGGGAATGCACGATTTCCTCTCGTCTCTCGGGGATGTTATGAGGACATTTCTCGATTCACAAACGCACCGTCGTCATTCGGAACCTCTGATTAACACCTGAACGTGGCGAACATGAGCCCTTATAGCAGAGGGGAAATTCAGGCCGGACCTGGGATTTGGTCTGAGTTCTGGTCTTGATCTTCTCCCCTCATCTTGCCTTTGCCTCCGATTTTCACCCCCTTACCTCCCCCCCCCTCCCCCCCCCCGCCCTTGCTGGGCCCCGTAGCTATTTCATAGTGGTAGTTAGGCACGCACGGAACTAAAGCCTGCAAAGTGTTTAAGTAGTTCCTCATGGTAACGACTCAAACATGCCCCTTAGTATCAGTGCTGTTGGTTTAACAGGAATGATGGTGCCAGTAAAATAGGCAGTTTTGGCTCCTTTTCCGAAGAAGTACAGCTAACAGGCTAGGTACAGCAGCCTGTGTGTGTGTGTGTGTGTGTGTGTGTGTGTGTGTGTGTGTGGCTGTCGGCTAAAAATAACCTGATGACTGGCCCCTAATTTAAGTAGCCTACAGTTGGAGTGCCAAGCAATTACAAAAACATGTTGGGTCAAGAGGCCAGAGTAGTTCGGGCCTACCCTGGAATTATGCATGTGGAGGGGGTTTGTAAGAATGTGATGAGACATCTGTGCGCGTAACGCCCCATAACTCAGTAGTGAAAGCAGAAAACTCTTAAGCTTTGCTTTTCCTGCCCCCCCGTACCCCCCACCCTCTTAAGGCTGGTTTATTTTTGGAGTCAG